CTCAGCTTTCTGAGTGCTGGGATTACAGGTGTGCAAACCCACACCTGACTCGGAATCTTAAAGTAAGGAAGGGGAAGGCTTCAACCTGCAGGGTACGGGGCTGGCGTCCCCGGTGTCCAGTTCCCGCAGGGTTAGGTTCTTAGATGTAAATTCCATCCTGCAGGAAGCAGAAAGCAGGCTTGTCCTAAAGCTCTGCATGGGGGGACAAGAGCCCCCCCCCAGCTCCTCTCTGCAAAAAAGGAGACTCCAGGGGCTGCTCCCTTCCTTGGTTGTGCCCAGCCCACACCAGAGCTGGCCAACGTGGGTTCTAGCTCGCAGAGGCCGGGGTTGTATAACGGCCTGGCAGCCTTATTGACCTGGTAGGTTCCGCCCACAAGCTCAAAACTGCTCTTGGAGAAGCAGCTGCTGGGACCCAGGGCTGGCAGGAGACGGAGGGACAGAGGCCGCATGTCACCCTGGGGTCCCTGCCTGTGCCCTGCTCCGCTCCTACAGCAGGCCTGTACAGGCTCCCGTGCTCCCGGCTGACGCTGCTGCTCCCACTGTGTCCCTGCTGGCTTCCGGGTCACTCCGCTTCAGGCCTTCCCTGCCCACTTCTCCCTTTCTCTTCCTCTTCGCTTTTGCTTCCCTCTAACTGCTCCTTCTCCTTCCCTAAACCCCTACACCTCGGCTGCACCCCAGCCTGGGACTTGGCCTGTAGGGGGGCTGTTGCCAAATGCAAGGATATGGTGTAATCCCAACACTCAGGAGGCTAAAGCAGGAGGATTGCTGGGGGTTCAAGGCCAGCCTGAGCTATATAGTGAGGCCCTGTCTCAAAAAACAAAAAGGAGGAGAAAGAGGAAAAAGGAAAGGTGTAAATTGGAGCAACTGAGCCAGAAAACATTAAAAAGCAACAAAAAGAAAAAAAGACCAAAGAATTAAAAAGCTGTATATAAAAGTATATCTACCACTAAACAGCGAAAATGAAGCCACTGACTATCCAGGGACAGGATGAGAAACCGGTGATGGTTCAGGAGCTTGACGGAAGGCGAGGCTCTGTGGAAGTTCCGTCTGTGAACCCCACAGTGTGTGAGTGGGCACTGGTCGCCAAAATGCTACGTGACACGTAAAACCCCAAAGAGACGCCCACAGCTACAGTGAAGAAGTGCGGTGAGCCTGTGCACAGACAGGAAGGCGGGAGCAGAAGAGGTAACATCCTGGAGCTAGAACGCAGCGGGGTAACTTGTTTTCTCTTTATTCCCCCTCTTAGGGGGCTGAGGCAGGAAGATCACTGTGAAGTGGAGGCCAGCCTGGGCTACACAGCAGCGTTCAAGGCCAGTCTGAACTTCATAGTGGGGCCGCATCTCATAAAACCCAAAGTAAAATAAAATAATAGAATAAAATGTCCTTGAATGCTTTCGTTTTGTTTTTGTAAAAACTCTCCTTACAGAGAAGTTAGGATGTGCGTAAGGATTTGGGGCTGCATGGAAAATACCTCGCCATCTCCGCGTCTGGGAGGCCCAGCTGGGCCATCTGCCGCGCCCTAGGGGGTTTCCAGGGAAGCAGCAGCACCAGCCCTGCAATTGGCCACAGCGGGTGCCAAAAGCTTTGCCACAGAAAGAGAGGCTGGCTGCTCCCCTCGGTTCTCTCCGTCTTTATCTCCAGGATCCCCACAACAGCTCTGTGAGTCACTGGATTATCTTCATCCGCCAGGTCTGAGAGCTGGGTAACTCATGCAGAGCTGCACCACAGAGGGAGAGCAGGGCCAAGCTGAAGCCTCTCCCTGGGCCTCTGGGCCCTGCTGCTGGGCCGGGCTCAGCACGTGGCTTGCTGTGCAGGGGAGTGAGCTACCTGGCCGCTGTGGTCTCCCAGTAACAAGGCGAGGGGACCCACAAAGAGCATGGCTCTGTGGACTTGAACCAGAGCTCCTCACGGGCCCGCGTGGTGCAGGGGATGGTGGCTCTGACTTGCCACTCATCCATCTATCTACACGTCCATCCCTCCACGTGCCCACCTGCCCATCCATCTACCCGGCCAGCCAGGCTGGGGATGGGGCTCAGTGGCAGAGCGGCTTAGTGCCATGGGCCCTGGGTTCAGTCCCCAGCACGGCAAACACAAGACATTTCCCCACCCACCTATTCACCAGTGACGCATCCGTCCATCTGCTCCCGCACCCATCACCCACTGTCTATGCTTCTGTCCATCTGTGCACGCATCTGTCACATACCTGCCCCGCACCACGCGCCAGCTCTATGCTGTCCCCGCGATTCTGCTAAGGCACAGTTCTATCAGACAGGGAGAAGAAGACATCCACAGACATGCGGGACATACGCCCTGCCCGCCCGTCACTGCTGTGGCCAGAGGACAGAGTGTTTTTCTCACGCGTCTCCGTGCCTCACAGGGCTTTGCACCCTGCTAGGCAGCACAGGCAATGCCTCCTGTCTCCTGAGCCGCCTGGACACTCGAGGAGCTGAGCAGAGGCCCCGGTGGTGGCCGCAGGGAAGAGAGTGTGGGGACAGCTCAGCCCTGGCAGGGCAGCTTGGGAAGGGAGGAAATGTGTTTTTACTAGCAAGCTGTCACAGAAACACTGTACCCAAGTCACAGGAGCCCTGCAGCCTGGAAGAAAGGCAAGTGAGGTAAGGCAGAGACACCACCAGGAACTAGGACTGAGAGCGGGCACAGGCCTGCCGCCATGGGGAGCCAGAACCGGGCCGAGCTGAATCCCTCTGCATCTTTCGCTTCCAGATTTCACTGGGGAGACGGTGGATGGTGCGGACCCTTATTTTCCACCGGCTTCAAAGAGACAGTTAGAAAGGCTATGTTATTGGCCAGTGCAGTGACTGGTCCTCCCAGCTGCTCAGGAGGCTGAGGCAGGAAGATCACTGGATCTGAGGAGCTGGAGGATGGCGGGGTACATAGTGAATTGAAGGCAAGTTTAAACTACACAGTATGGCCCTGTCTCAAAACAAACTCAAAAACCCTAAAAGTGTATGTCCTATAATTTGGACTAAATGAACAGTGACAAGAGGAAGGCAAAGGATAGGTGTAGTGGCTCACACCTCTCATCCAGGCACTGGGAAGGCTGAGGCAGGACGATTGCCGGCAATCTGAGGCCAGCCTGTGCTGCCTAAGGAGACCTGTCTCAAAAAAGAAAAAGATAAAACAAGAGTATTCATCACAGCCTTGTTAAAATGACCACAAATGGGAAGAAACCTTGTCTAACCAAGGAATGGGTACCTAAGGGTTAAGCCACTCCAGGCAGCCAGGTCTCTGGGGAAAGGTCCTGTTCACCATCACCACAGGAAGAGGAGGTGCAGGCAGGCAGCTGTGGGTCAGCGCCCCCCCCCCCCCAGCAAGCTTGGAGCCCGCAGGCAGGCGCAGTGGGCAGTTCCTCCGATGCAGGCAATGGAGGCCCCAGGAGAAAGGCACAGCTCCTCCTGGGGACACTTTCGTGTCAGTTCCCACTCAGGAAGTCCTTCCTACACTGATTCCACTGCCCCTGTAATAATAATAATAATGTCGTTGTCTCCTCTCCTGATGGAACACCTGAAGGATGTGATAAAGTACTTGAAGCTGGGCATGGTGGGACACACCTGGAAATCCCAGCATTGGGAGGCTGAGGCTGGAGGGTCACCAGGAATCACCACGAGTTCCAGGCCAGCCTGGACTACATAGCAAGACCTTATCTCAGAAAATACCCCCAAATATGTGTGTGTGTGTGTATTCTATATATTCATCTTTTTCTTTTTTTGTACCAAGGATTGAACTCATGACCTTCTGCTTACCAGGGAGGCACTTCTGCCACTGAACTAAAACCTCCATCCCTAAAATTGAACTTTTAAAGCCAACCATAGTGGCACATACAATCCCAGCACTTGGAGGCTGAGGCAGGAGGGTCCCTGTAAGTTTGAGGCCCCGAAGTGAGACTCTCTCTCAAAAAAGGGAGGGAGCAGTCTAGACTACACAGCAGGACCCTATCACCAAAAAAAAAAAAAAAAAAAAAAAAAGAAGGCTGGGGATATGGTGTACTGACAAGACCCTGTTTAATTCCAAGGTTTTTTTTTTTTTTGAATAAAAATGATTCTTTTATACTTTTTATGAAAAAAATAAGAATTTCACCACAAAATAATAAGAGAAAAACATTTCATCTAGAACTCCTTGAAGTTTCAGAGCCTTTCCCCCATCTATAATTTATGGACCACGGAGAAAGATGAATTTATAGTACCAAAAGAGGTCTGATTTTAAAATTCTGATCTCCTTGTCTTTTTTCTGCTTGTCTTTATTCTTCCCCGCACCTCAGCGGGATGCTGGCTGTTTGTGCAGCTGCTCCTCCGAGACGGGGAGAGCCTGTCTCTGCCCCACCCTGTCTGCTTGCGGATCCCCACTCCCAGCCCCAGGCCTTCCAGCCCCAGGCCTTCCGTTCCTCAGCACCTCCCCACCCCTCGCCCCTCTCTCCCCTAAGGCCACTCTGGTGAGATCTCGCTGCCGGTCAGCTCTGTCTTTGATCTCACCTCTCTTTCTCTTCATCACCAAAATCCCCAGAACCTTCTCAGCAGAGGCTGTCCTTCGGCAGAGTGCCCTGGAGACCCCAGGCCTTGTGACAAGTGGCAATCGCATGGTTAAGGCTGGGTGAGGCTCCATAGCCTGGGGTAGGTGGAGTGCTGTGTAGGAGGCCCTGGCTGAATCCCCTACATTCAAAACCAAACCAACCCTCACAATGGCTTCCTATTTCAGTCCAAGTTGGATCAAGTTCTTACAGTGACCCCACCTGCCTTGAGCGCCTGCTTGCTCTGATGGTGCAGCCAGCACTCTTGCCCCAGGGCCTTTGCACAGCGCCTCCTGCGCCTGGAACGCTCTACCTCAGATTTCCATCTGGCGAGCTCTGTCATCTCCTCCAGGCTGCATTTACACTGCCTTCCCAGGGAGGCCTGCTTTGTCCCCCACCTGTCCTCTGGCACTTGTGTGCCTGTCCCACTGTGTTTCCAGAGGTCTTCCTGCCTGTGACACCCAGGGCATTGACTCACTTTTCCTGTCCTTCTTGCTGTCCACTAACCGGCCCCACCAGAAGGCAGGATCCCCAGGCAGCCACCGTGGTTGCAACTCCTTCGCAGATGCTGCTTGTGTGGCTAGAAAGTGGGTGCGGTGAGCAGTACTGGGCGAGTGCTGGACTGGCCAAGGTGTGTAGTTGGAGTCCAGGGCGGGTGGAGGAGGAAATGCGTCCCGCTGGGGCCAGGGCAGAAACAGGAAGGAGCCGCCGGCCACGGCGGGCACCAATTTGTTTTAGTGTCACCTCTGGGTGAGAAGGCAGAGGAAGTGTACCCACCGAGTCACAGTAAATCTACTTGCCGTCAAGGCCCCCCCGGGACTTCTGAGACCGGCTGGCAGGCGGAGAGGTCCCCCCCCCCCGCTGTCACGGCTGCCTCAATGTCCTGAACCCATTCAAAACATCAACTTTCCATGGCAATTCCAGCTCTCAGGAGGCTGAGGCAGGAGGATCGCTAAGGGTTCAAGGCCAACCTAGGCTACCTAGCAAGACCCTGGCTCCAAAAGAATAAGAAATTGGGGTGGGGAGAGCTGTGATTTCAGGAGGCTCAGCCACAGTGCGTGCAGGGTCTTCTGCCAGGACTGGGGCCCAAGCCACGGGGCAGGGAAGGGCAGGGGCCTGCAGGGCAAGGCACTCTCACTCTCCCCGAGACGTCTCTGTGGTGGCCACTCCTGGGTGCACCCCGAGTGAGCGGCAGAGACAGAACCTTTGGCAAACACACCACACCCTTGCCTCTGTCTCGCCTCGTGGCCACTCAGCAAGCCTGGCCTGCGCCCTCTCCACTGCAGAGAGGTGGGGTGAGAGGCTCAGGAAGATGGCAGCGCCCTGCGGATCACTGCAGCCAGCTCCGGGGCCCCTGTATCACAGCCGGCAGCATCCTTTCCTCTCTGCCTGCTCCGTCCTGGTGGAGGCCAGGTGGGAAGTGTCTGACCCTGAGCCTACCTGGAGAATCAGGGCACCAGTCCCTGAGCTGGACGCAGAGGAAGCGCGTACTGAGCCTTCTTTGACAGTGGTTGTTTTGAGACAGTCTTGCTACATGGTTCAGACTGGCTTTCACCTGGAACTGAAGTCGACCATCCTGCCTCAGCCTCCTGAGTGCTAGGATTACAGGCCTATACCACTGTGCCCTTGCCTGGCATTTGTGAGACTCCAAGTTCCATTCCCAGCCCTACAGGAAGAAGGGCCTGATGTCCTTTGGAGGCAGGGAAGCAGCAGCGGGCCCAGCTCCTGCAGGAGGCCCAGGCTGCAGAGGGTGACAGAGAAGGTGCTGGAAGCTGCTTCCCTGCCAAGTTCTGCGCCACAGGAAGCTGGCAGAGGCCCGCACACACTTGGGAGTCTGAGTGCCCTTGGTGGCCCAGAGCCCTTGCCGTATGCATGGAGATGCAGAGACCCTGCAGCACGAGCTGCCCATCAACAAGCGGCTGCCGTGACAACAGGGTGACACCTCCGACCTCCTGTCTCTGCAGAATTCGCACTCTGTGGACCCAGCAAACTGCTCCCCTCCCTATGTGACCTCCTCCTCTGAGACAGGGTGGGGGGGCTTCAGGATGGAGACAGGGCCGTCCATCCGGTTTCCTCAAGGGGGCTTATCATAAAGGCATTGCTCTTCCCGGGGGGCAAATAAAAACAGCCCCGCTTCCAGGTATTCACCAGTTATTTATTATTTATACCGCACCCACTTCCAAAAACCTGCTTGTGTGGCTCAGCATAAAAGCTGTACACAGCACAGCACGCGGGGTTGAAACTGTCATGATTGCGACCTTGTGACTGTGGGAGGAATTGGGGGTTCCACTGCTTTGTTTTTTAAAAACAAAGGAGGTCTTGGGAGGGTCCGGGAGAAAGATTAAAACTGCAGCCTGTGATAGAGGATGGGCCAACAGCTAAGGGAAGGAAAGGAGGCCAAGAGCAAGTGAAGCAATCCAAGCTGAGTGCGATGTGCGTCCTGTAATCCCAGCACTCGGGAGGCTGAGGCAGGAGGATAGTTGCAAGTTGGAGACCAACCTAGGTTACAAAGTGAACTCCAGGCCAGCCTGAAATGCAAGGTGAGAATCTGTTTCAAAAAGACAAGAAAAAAAAAAAAAGACGCTTTAAGAACACATCATCTGGGGCTGGGGATTTAGCTCAGTGGCATAAGCACCTGCCTTGCAAGCACATGGTCATGTGTTCGATCCCTGGTACTGATGAAAAAAAAAAAAAAAAAAAAAAAAAAAAAAAAAACAACACATCATCCTTGGCCTGGGTAGCAGGAGGCCAGGCCAGTTCCGGAACTGGGTCGCCAACTTTGGGATCCAGTGGATGCGCCCCTCAGATGATCTGGGCCTCGCCTGTCTCTGAGCCATGGCCAGTCACATAAACAGCCGCTGCAGCCTCAGCCCTCTCTCTCCCCCATCACCAGTGTCCTCCCTCGTCCTGGTGACTGCCAGCCTCCAGCTGGGCCTCTGCATGTGCAGTGGGAAGCTGTGGCCTCCACTCAGCTATAGGCTCTGCCCTCCTGACCCTCAGGCCTGAGGAAGCTCCCTCCACAGGACTGAAGTCCAGCACTGGAGGGCTGGGGACTCTACACAGAGGAGCCATGAATTTGCTTCATGGGGCAACACATGACCATTGAGAGATGGGGCAGGGCAAGGCCAGCAGATGGGTGCCACAGTCACATGACAGTGACCAACCATGTCTCTCGTGTCGTTTCCCATTCTCCTTCCCTGTCCCTCACTCTCACTGCACTGGGTTATAAATCTCATTAAAGTACCAGCACTTAACACTTGATTATACTCATTTTTGTTTTGTTTTCAGATTTTTGAGACAGTATGTAATGTAGGCTAGCCTTGATTTCTCAGAGATCCTCCTGCCTCAGCCTCCCCAGTGCTAGGATTATGGGTGTGCACCAACAAGTCCTTTTTTTTTGAGCCTTCTGACTCCTTGACTTGCAGGAAGCAGTCACTGGTTTCTGACTGATGGTTGGTCATGTGGATAACCACCAACAGTTAGGAGCATCTCAACAAACCTTCACCTCACTCCAAAATTATACATTCCATGCTTGCCCCTGTGTCTATCCAGACTCCACATGGTAGAGGTGAGGAAGCAAGGCCCTGACCAGGCCACTCAGTTAACTGGAGACTGAGCAAGGCTGGAACTCGCTCACTGTGATCTCAGAACTACCGGACATGGTGGTGCAGGCACACCTGCAATCCCAGCACTCTGGGAGGCCGAGGCAGGTCGATTGTATGTTCAAGATCAGTCTGATATCACCCTCAGCTCCTCCTGGAACTGCTGAGAGCTGTGGGCCATACACAGCACATGAGAAAAACTGGGCCCAAACACAGCTTCCAGTCCCCCTAATTGAGAAAAGATGGTGAGCAGCACTTGAAGCCTATGGACAGGGCCAGTCCCACACGGGAGGCAGTGAGAGGTAAAAATCCCTGCGGTCCAGGGGAGTGGTGAACAGCAGAGAAACAGCTTCTCCAAGATTTGGCATCCAGGTGCTGGAATATAGCAGTTTGAGGAAGAGAAGGAGCAAAGGGGCCCCTGGGATCCACTAGGGATCTGATATGAGAATTGGAGCCCACGGGGAGAGCCGAGAGAGAGACCTTAGCACAGACAAGGAGCTGTCCAGTGCTACTTTCCGTCTGAGCCCTGACTTTCTGCATGGGGTGGGGCCTGAACCTGCAGATGCACAGTGACTACTGGTGACCCAGAGGCCTCCCTGGAGAAAGGGAGCAGCGGACACAGGTTCAGATGTCAGGAAAGAGTGACTGGCCATCTTGGAGAGAAGCCGATTTAGCTTGAACCTCAGAGGAGCTGTGGGCTGGTTGCATCTAGCTGCTCCCTGTTGAGGTGAGGTAGAAACTAGTTCCAATTGGCAGGAGGTCACGGAGCCCAGTTCAAGCCGGCAGGAGGCACATGGAGTGTTGCAGGCTGGGCCAGTCAGGTTCCAGCCTTGCAGCCAAAAACCAGTCTGACCTTCAGTGGAACTAAGGTGCAGGCCTGCTGGGATTATCCATGACCCTGCCTACAACTGTGGCTGGCTTGCTGGGATTAATCAACACGGACCTGGGTTCTGTCTGTCCACTCTCTACCAGTGACAGCAGAGGCACACTGTAAAGTGGACATTTTTTTCTTTTTCTTTGTTTTATTTTTGTCTGTTTTGGTCTCCTTTTTCTTGATTCTTTGTCCTTGGTTTTATACAGTGTGAACCTTGTTTCTACTTTTTTCTTATTTTTGATCTGTTTTTATTTATTCCTTCTCTCTTTCCCTCTTGTCTTCTTCACCACTATCCTAAAGTTCAGATAATCTTTCTTTGACCTCCAGTCTTGCTTCTGATCTTATCCTTTTCTCCTAGTTCCCTATTTTTACCGCTAACCCCTTTAAAATTTTCTTTCCTGAGGATAAAATCACAATTTTTTTCCCTTTTTGAGACAGGATCTCACTATGCAGTGCAAGTTGGCCTTGTAACTTTGTAACCCAGGCTGGTCTCACATTTGCAATGATTCCCCTGCCTCAGCCTCCCACGTGCTGGGATTACAGGCACGCATCATCATACCCAGTTTAAAATAATCCTATGGAGAGCATATTCACTGAACACAATTTTCTGGTCTGTTTTAGATTTTGTTGGGGCTGGGGATTTAGTTCAGTGGCATAAGCACCTGCCTTGCAAGCAGGCAGTCCTGAGTTCTATCCCTGGTACCGATAAAAACAAACAAAAAAAAATGTTAGATTTTGTTGTATAACCACAAATATAGTTTATATGATTAAAGATGGAAAATTAGTAATTACCACAGTTTGTCATTTTCTAGGTCATATTTGATGTTATTGTGATTACTGATTGTACCGCTTCAGCCAAGGTGACATACTTGTTTTAATCATTCATTTTTCATGGTATACCAAGATTGAAATTGCATGAGGATCATAAACAATACTATTGGCCTTTGCCAAAGAACCAGGGGCTAGACCAAATAGGCATCCCAGGGATGCAGGGATGGTTCAACATATGCAAATCAGTATATATAATACACCATGTTAGCGGAGCCCAGGACAAAAACCATACAATCATCTCAATATATGCAGAAAAAGCACTTGACAAAGTCTGACACCCACTCATGATAAAAATCCTACA